GAGCTTGAGGGCTTTGTTTAAGCAGGCACTTAAACAACTGAGCTACTGGGCAGGCCCCCTGGGCAACTTATTTTAAAAAAGATTTTATTTCTCAGAGTTCTGAAGTCAGGAAAGTCCAAGCGCTAGGGACCAAAGTGGTGAGAGCCTCCTGCTACATCATAAGCAGATGGAAGGCACTTGTAGGAGTTTATAAGCCTAGGTCTCTTCTTCTTTTCATGAAGTCTCTAATCCACCAAGGATTAGAGACTAAGGCCACTGCACATGTCATTTCATGTGAATTTAGGGTTTAAGTTGCGAATGCATGAGCTTTTGGGGAAACACACTGAAGCTATAGTACTGTGATGGTGGTGGCAGTGGCAATGGCAGTGGTGGGCTACAGAGATGGCTCAGTGGTCTAAGCACCTGCCTAGCAAGCACAGGGATCCCGGTTTGATTGTCAGCCCCATGCCACCCCTGCCACTGAAACCAGGTGTGGTGCACACCTGTAATCCCAGCACTGGGGAGACTGAGACAGGAGCATCACTATGAGTCTAAGCTGTGTAGCAAGACCCTGTACCAAAAGTGAATCTTTAAAAATAATTAAAAAAGAGGGCCGGCGAGATAGCTCAGCGGGCCAGGGTTCAATCCGTCACACATGCTGTGCCAGCGACAGTCCAGACGTGGTGGCACACGCACACCTGTAATGCCAGCACTGGGGAGGCTGCAAACAGGCGGATCACGTTGAGTTCAAGCTGCATAGTGAGACCCTGCAGAAAATACAAAAAGGTGGGGGAGCATTCAGAGACAGCTGTTTGGATGTTTCTGTCTCTTGGTTTCTGTGTACTTCAGCTGGAGGAGGAGGCTCTGTGAGAAGAGAAGAACGTAGGAGATTACCTGTTCCTTAAAAACCACTGAGAAGGCCCTGCGTGGTGGTGCATGCCTGTAATCCCAGCACTCCAGAGGCTGAGGCAGGAGGATTGCTGAGAGTTGAGGCCTTCCTGGGCTACCTAGTGAGTTCAAGGCCAACCTAAATGGCATAGTGAGACTCTGTCTCAAAAAACAAAATCCTATTGAGTATTGAATGGCATCAGTACTCTTTGATAAAGTGATATCCTGATAAGTGCATCAGTCTGCAGTGCTGGGTAGTTTGTTGTAGTTGTGGTACTGGGAATGGAATGTGGGGGCGCTGTACCACCATGCCACATTCCCAGCCCTTAAAAAAAAATTATTTTTTCTTAGGCAGGGTCTCACTAAGCTGTCCAGGCTGGCCTTGAACTTGTGCCACCTAGGTGGCTACATTGTTGTTCTTTGTTTATTTTTTATTTTTTATTTTTTTTTTAATTTATTTATTCATTTATTTGTGTGTGTGTGTGTGTGTGGCCAGCTCAGCCCACCAGGGGGCGGGCTGGCTGGCATGTGGTGCTGGGGGATTGAACCGCGGTCCCTGTGCTTTGCCAAGCTTGTTCTAAGTAGGTGCTTTAGACCACTGAGCCATCTCACCAGCCCCTGTTCTTTGTTTAGTATTCCTGGTTTTTTTTCTTTTTGTTTTTTTGGAAGGCAGCTATGCTCACCATTATACCACCAACACAGTGTTGTTTTTTTTGTTTTTTTTTTTTTTTTTTAATTTTTTTATACAGAGTCTTGCTAGCACCTCAGCCTCCCAGGTATCTGACACTAAAAACCTATGCCTTGCATGTAGCTGTTGCTAACCTTTTTTTGCAGGTGGGTGGTGTGGTACTGAGGATTAAACTTGGAGCCTTCTCAGAGTTACATCCCCAGCCCATTTTTAATTTTTAGTTTTGAGACAGGATCTTGCCAAGTTGCTTAGGCTGGGTCTCTTATAGTCCTCCTTCCTCAGCCTCCTGGAGTGTTGAGATGACAGGCTTGCCCCACCATGCTCAGTTTGGTGCTGTGTATTTGAATTGAGACCAGTTAGTATGGTTGTGCATCTTTCCTGGTAAGTTAAGCGACTCTTGTTTCCTTGTTTTAAAGTGAGAGATGGCTCACTCAGTGGAATAAGCGCTTCCCTGGCAAGCTCAAGGGCATGAGTTCAATCCCTGGTTCTGCAAAAAAAATAAAGAAAGTGAGCAAGATAATGACATTCACCTCACAGAACTGTTTGGAAATTAATAATGAGTTAATATAAAGTGCTTAAAATCGTGCCTGGCATATAGTGATTGTCCAATAAATACTAGTATTCATTGGTGTCACTTTCATGTACGTTTGGAATAGGAGGAT